GCTTGCCCAGAGCTGGGTGCTGTGCAGGGACCTGCTGGTGGTGACAGTGCAGCTGTAAGGAGCCAAGGGACAGATCCAGATCTGCATTTGCAGACACTGGGCTGGTACCACCTTGCTGGAGCTGTGCACTGGGGCACTTTCAGCTGGGCAGAGCTGAGCATCACTCATTGGGGGGCCCCCAAATCCTTTGCTGTAGCATGAGAAGCTCCCGTGGTCCAGCAAGAGCCAGCTGGGTATGATTGGTTTTTTGGGAGCTGCTGGTGCTGACTGCACTGCTGTATTTCACTCATCAGCTTTATAGCAGCAGCTGCTTGTGCTCTGGTTTCATCAGGGCTGAAAGAACCAGTGCCCTCTGCTGTAAAACTCTTGTCTGAGATGTCCCTAAGGAAAGGCTGGGAGAGGAGCAGTGTGATGCAGAGCCTTGGGTCCTGGTGCTACCTCCTGGTGAGTTTGCAGAAAGGTGTCTCAAAGGCACCCTGGAGCCCAGCGCCCAAACAACCCCCCCTCGCCCCCGCACCTGGGACTCGCAGAAAGGGTAGGACGGTGAAATAGTGCCAGCCTGCTTCTGTTTCCCTGCTAAATCGGAATCCAAGCAACTGCTGGTGGGGAGCCAAACAGGTTTTATTTCCTGAAAATACAGTCCAGTGTCTCTACTAGGATGAACCTCAATTAAAATGATGAGTGAGCAAGCAGGATTTTAGTTTCCAGAGCAGCTGAACGTGCTGGACTGTGAAGGGGAATGCCATTAGATGAGGGGTGGGAGGAGAGCAAATAACTTCAGGAAAGCTGGAGGAGGGAGAGAGCAAGGAGACCTTGAGGCAGAGGAGTGGCTTCATCTGAAGGGGAAGGAGGATTTTCACCTGGATGGCAGGGCTCCCTGCGCCAGGGACGTGCAAGAGGCGGATGTGCCAGCTTGGTAGCGTGCCAAGTTGCCAGCTGCTCTTCGCAACGATTGGGCGGAAAGTGGCTAACTTGCATCTGCGCCGGCTTGGGAAGGTGGAGCTGCTCTCGTGGCTGCAGACCTCACAGCTGGGGGCCTGCAAATTTGTCTGGCCGCAGCAATGTGCGCGCTGGGGCTGCTGTGAGCTGCCCGTTGATCGGCTGTTCTCTGCACAAGGTTGACTCTGGTTGCCACAGTCCTCTGGCTTGTGGTTTTAGTAATTGCTGGAGTGCAGAGGGCCTAGAGAAGCTGCTGCATCGAGCAGAAAGAAGCAGCAGCAAGGAAGAAACAGTAATGCGTTACAGGGGCCTGCCGAATCAAAGGTGACGGGAGGGATGCCCAGCACGCTTTGGTGGCTTGCCAATCTGCAGGCCACCGAAGGAGATGGAAGGTGAAGATTTCCATGCCATGCTTGCAGGCATTGTGTCATCACAGCTGGGAAGGCGCTGGGAGAGGGGTGTGCACCATTGCTGCATGGCTACAGGGGATTCTTCGAACTGTTTTGGCTGCTGAAAAATCCATACTATGCGTTTCTTGCATACACAACCCACTAATCTGCCAGAGCTGGTAAACAAATTGCAGGAAGTCACCCTGTGCTGCCTTACATATAATAAACTCCAAATGCAGGATTCACTGGGAGACTTCAGTTGGCACGCGCTCTGCACATCTCCCTTAGGAGCCCTTGGACAGCTGTTGCCTCTCTAGATCAGGGAGGCGCACTGTCTGAGATATTTGCAGTGCATAGTGCCTCATGCATGCAACTTAAATAGACATGGTTTGTAAGGAGGAGGTGAAATGTTTCATTTGACCAACTGGACATATCTGGAGAAAAAGCAGATGAGCTTTGTTCTGTGCTGGCCTCTCTGACATCATTAGACTGGGATTGTGCGTGCAGGGAGCTATTCTTTTTCCCATCTGGAAGCTAGGGCACCAGTCATATTTGGGTGACGTTCATAAAACGTCTTGAGACCTTCCCGTCATCACAACTGCAACAAGAGGGCTCCACGTGATTCTCACCCGCTGGTGAGTGCAGCACTGGGCTTCCAGAGCTGATGTCTTTGCTGCTGTTGCCCAGCCTGGGCTGTCTCTGGCCAGGACGTGGCTGTGCACACTGAGCCCCTCTTCCCTGGCAAAGGGAAGCCAGTTTTTGGGGAATAGCATGTTTACGCTTTGCCCAGAGCCCCCTAGCTCTGTGGTGGTACGCCCAACATGGGCTGCTGCACACAAGCTTTTGGGGAGCTGCTTCTGCTCCCTGGTGCCCTGTGAGCTGTTGCAGGGCTGACACCAAAGGCTTTTTCTGTACAGGTGAGTGCTGCTGGGAAGTGTTCAGCGCTCTGTCTGCTGAGGGCTGTTCCTCGTGGATGCTAGGGTGTTTGGGCACTTAGGACATTGCCACAAAATCACGAAGATATGCTGTAAATGTGGCTCCTGATGCTGGTGGACACAGACTACAGTTGATGAGTTTTCTCAGCGATAGCTTGTATTCTGCATAGTCGTGACCTAATTAAAAAAATATATATATACACATATACACATATGAATGTATGTTTTTATGTATACGTGTGGGTATATATATTATACACACATATACTTTTTTGTCTTTTACTTCCCTGTACGCTGCAGTCCAATCAGGCTAGACAAATACAATATTAGCATCTGGTGGCTTAGCGTTAGGCCAAAGAAAATTATTGACATGAGCCCTCCCCATAACAAATTTTGTGACACAGAGGAGTATTACTCTTCATTTCGCACTAGGTGAGTAGAATATTGCTGCAGAATGAAAAGTTTCATTTCATCATCAGAACAAATAGCTTAATCAATTGATTTCTGCACAGCTGTGGAAGTATTATTAGCTATTTCAAATAATGGAAGATGTTTAGCGCTGGCAGGAGAGAAACGGCAGTGGGACATGCTGGGACCCAGCATGCTCAGAGGAGTATTGGGAAGAGCCTCGACTTTTGTGGGGCAAAACTACAGATATCTCTGGGGTGATGGATGGCAGAGATTTATGGAGCTGCTTGAAAAGCTTAGAGACGTTATTCGAACTGAAGGAAAAAGTAGGGAGGGGAGGGACAACCCAGCAACCCAAAACAGGCAGCTTGTGCTGGTGTGTCAGCAAATTGTCCTTCTGTCACTCGTCCCGGGAAGGAAAGGCTCCCGTGCTGTCTGCGTGCAATGAGAAGAGCAGTAGCAAACTGTGACAGAGCACAGCAAAGGCAACACCTCTGCGTGGGACGTGGGCCGCGAAGAGCTGTGTTCTCATCTCCGTTGCCCAGAAAAGAGGGAGGGACAGCGCAGGAGCTGCCAGCAGCTGCAGCGTGTACGGGAGCGTTGTCCAGGTGATGTGCGCACCAGACTGGTAATGTTACGGGGGGAGCTGAAGGCCCGCGACTGGCGAAGTTTGTTCCTGAGTGTTTATTTCCGACTGTTGCACAGAGTTTGCACATTGGAAAAAGCCGCTGTAGCTCCGTCCTGCCAACCCGGGGAGCGGTACTGTGCCTACGCTCATGCCCAAGTGCTGACGAAAGTCAAAGAAACAGCAAAATCCAATAAAGCAATGATATCGGGCAAGCATTCATGCTTCAGGTGGTCAGATGTCATGCTTAGACGAAACTTTAATAAAACATCTCTTGATACCATGACTTTAGCGGGGGGGAGGGGGAAACCCCCAAAAAGCTAGTTCTGCAAGATGCAAGGGCAGGGGCTATTTAAGGAGCACCTCACCAGGTGTACGGAGGTGTAAAGCGGGTTCCAGGAGACCTTTGCAGAGCTTGGAAGCAGTGATGCTGTGCGAGTCAGCAGGTCTGCTTGGTCATCAGACTCTGAAGGGAGAAGTTAAGGAGAAAGAGGATCCTGTGAGGAAGCAAAATGGTTTCATGCCATCAGTCAGGAAAATGTAGGTGAAGATAAAGACTAGATTCCTCCAGGGAATAAGGTACTGTGTGAATGGAGAAATTAAACAGCAACAAATCACCAGAGCCCTGTGGGCTCCAGCCAGCTCTTCTGAAGGAATTTAACAATGAACCAGCTGAACTGCCAGCAAAAAGTAATCTCTCATTAAAAGCAACTGCTGCATGGCAGTACAACCTCTTCTGCTCTGTCTGTCTTTAATTTAAAGAGGTACAAGGAGGACTGTGGGAATTACAGTCCAGTGAGCTTTATTTTAACACCAAGCAAATTGGCTGAGAAAATAATTAAAGCTCATGTGGAAATGGCTTTGTTTCAATGTGATAGATTAAGGACAACAAAGCATGACTTTTAGACAGGAAATCCAGTTTACTAGGATTTGTATTGCAATAAAGTGATTGGGGAGAGCAGTTTGGAGATAAATTATTTGGACTTTCAGAACGCCCCTGACAAATTCCCTAAATTATTACGGAAACTGTTAAGACAGGAGTTGTGGGAGGAAAGGTGAAATGCAGTTAAATGCTTGCAGATTTACTACAAGAAGAAGCGAAGAGTTACGCCCTGCATTGTCAGTCTGGCCAAAGGTTGCTCTTCTCAGTCGTGGGCTTTAAGCTTGCAATGTAATGTTAAATATGCATATTAGCCACATACATGCAAGCTGATCAAGGTTGCAAGTCAAGCACGTAAAAATTAGGGAGCGCTAGATCTAAATTGACTGTATGAGCCTGATTACCTCCCCTCTTTTTCTCCCTTGAGTATCTGCATTAGGTAGGAAGCTGTAGCTAATTACATGGTCATGTGCTATTTTTACTCATAGGCCACATGCTTCTCTTTATACGTGGGAGAGACCTGTTCCAAGGACGAATATAGGGTAGCTCATTGAAAAGACTGATGTTTAGAGGAGCTTTATTTTGTTGGCAGGGGACCAAAGTTGGAGAGCGAGACAGGCAGTGGCCTGGAGAGCAGGGCTTCCCCGTGGCACTGTTTCAGGCCATCTCGCCCATCGAATCGGGCCGTGGAAGAAGCGGCAGCTTGCTGGGCTCGGCTGGGAGCACGCTTATGGGAGAGACTGCCTGTTCCTGCTTCTGCTGCCCTGCTCTGCTGGGTCCACAGATGCCAAGAGCTGCAGTTGCAGGAAAGGTCCTGCTCGGCCCTGAGCTGGAGCTTTCCTGGTAAGCGTGGATGCTTTCGGGACTGTACTAGACCTTTACGTAGCTGACTGATTTTTTTTTTGTTTGTTTGTTTTCCCTGAGGCTTGAGGCTAGGTCCCATTTGAGCTAATTTTCCCAAGAACAACAAAAAGCACAAAGACAACGGCTGCCCAGGTTTCACGTCCTGCTGTCATGGAGCCATGGAAAGGGTTATGTTTTGTTTATTTATTTATTTTTAAAAATGAGGGTGGAACAAGGTATCTTCTTTTAAGGCTCATTCTTGGAAGTGGCTGAGCAATTCAGGCTGCAGTGGTTTTCTTTTTAGAAGGGTGAGGTGGGGGAAGTCACACTTGCTGCGGAAAATATCAACCTGAACTGTTAAGTGTTTCACCAAGCTCGGTCCAGAAATGCAAAGTGCGGGGCAAAGCTGAGCTTTAAAAGTCTGGCAAAGCATGCTGAGCAGAGAATCCTCTTCACGTTGGTGTTTGGGGAGACCAGGAGTAATTTGAGGGGGAACTAGTAAATGTTGATGAAACTTAGAGCTGGTAGAGGTAAGGGATGTGTGTCGGAAGGGAGAAAGTGACCTGCAGAAGGACATTGTTCAGATTTCAATTCTTTGTTAACCAGTTAGGAAAATGGGTGCTGTTGTGCCCAGTTCAGAGAAGACTGATGCTCCAAGCATGCTGTGCTGTGCGCAAAGCGTGTTAACCTATTGCCACGAAACGGTAGTGAAGTCAAAGGTTTAGCAGGCTTGGAGTTTTAGACTGATAAACCATCCACAGTTACATGACAGAGAACCGATACCTTGAGAACACCAGGAACTGCATCTTAGAAACCCTAGCTTGCTGATCTTAGGAAGAGCTGCGTTGAGGTCTGTAAGTTGGTGGCGTTCCTTGCACAATGTGTCTTGGTTGTTGGCAGAGATAGGTGGGCAGACTTCAGGAACTGGTTGTGGCCAAGCCTAAGCAACACAGAGAAAATGCAGTCAGCAGTTTTGAACGAAGATACCAAAATCAGTCCGGCATGTTGTGGCTGAACATCACAGCACAGGGACTGCGTGGCGTGAATATGTGAGTGAGTGCTTTCTTGCAGCAGTAACCAGTGCGAGCGAGCTCTGCAGAGGCCAGCGCCAGCAGGAAGGCCTGGGCAGAGGGATCGAGGCAAATTTTGGGCTCTCTGCATGTGGTCCTAGGCAGCACACACTGGGACTTCCCCTTCAAAGTGCTGATGGCGTGACGTGTGTAGTGTCTCCTCCTGTCGTTTCTCTCCAGCCTGTCTTCCCTTCCTGGTGAAACTGCACATTGCTGAAGGTGTAACTTTTGAGCTTGAGATAGAAATGAAGCATGCTTGGTGTTTTGAAATGCTCTTCATCATATCAGCGTTGCAGCTCTGCTGGGTGCTTGCTCCAGCTCTTACCTCTGCAGTTCAACACATCTGTGCTCTTTCTTTCGGGGGGAAGCATAACTTGATCTTGTAAAATAATTTTTTGGTGAGGGGAATCAAATGATCCTCAGTGTAATTTGCTAATGATATCCTGTGCACCCCTGCGTCCCATGCGGTTCCGAGTCAGCGCACAGATTTTAGAGCTTGTTGAAAAAGTGGCTTTTAAAACAAAAAGTAACGGTCGCTCTTTACCACTGGTGGCTAGCTGTAACACTTGCTCCGCAGTCCCTGTAGCACCAGCTTTTTGCTTCCTGTGACTCTCGCTGCCTTCCCCCTGCCTTTCTGGCTCTGTCCTTCTTTATTTGGCATCCATTGATTTCTCTTCCCCCTTGGGGTTTGAATGGAGCTCAGATGAACGCAGCTGCTTTTGTTCCTCAGCATCAACAACAACTTGTCATCGGTGTCATTTTTACCCTGCCACAGCTTCTTTGGAAATGGCTGTAATAGGGCAGAGCTTGGGCGCCGTGAGCAAGAAGCGTTCGGCCTGGAACGACAGACTGATGCACGCGCCATGCTTGGCAGAGGAGACGCGGCCTGTTAGGTTAGGCGATTGCAAAGGTGTAAGGGTGAAGCAGGGAGGGGGTGTTTACGCCAAGCGCCAGTATAAAGCGGAGAAAGGTTTGCCGCCTTGTAAGAGGGAGGGCTGTGGCAGGCAGATGCTCTTCGCTGCTGCTGGTGTGGCTCCGACCTGGAGCTCTGCGGTGGTACCCAGCGGGCACCCACTGCCCTGAGTGGGGGCCCTGGCGAGGACGCAGGTGCCATGGCCGTGCACAGGAAGTATTAATCCCTCCTTTTTCTTTGTTGAGAACCCCCTAGGAAGCTGTGCAGCAACAACGCCTTGAAACTGGTTTTTGACTTTTGCCCAAACAGAGGGACTTCCCAGTGTCATCTTTCCTGTTGGATCTCACGGGCTAAAACAGAGGGCAAAACATCATTTACTGACTGCTGCTGGCATCGTGGCTTAGGACAAAACCCTTGGTTGTGTACACTGACGTTTATCTTGCAAGGGCTGCATCCTGCTGGGATGACCAGCAGTGCTCCGACCTCCTCCGAGTCCTATTCCAGACTCAGTTCTCAAAGGATTTTCCTACCTGTTTCTGTGTACAACACTAGAGGCAGAAGGGGGGCATGGAGTGGCACGTGGGGTTTTGTGACACAGCCCATCTCTGCGCTTGCAGTGTGAAGTTGTAGGTCACAGTGCTCTGCCTCTACACTAAACTTCTTGCCTAGATGCTGATGACCTGGAGAATAAGCAGCCAGGAACCTGCCCCACTTGAGAGGTCAGGAGGACCCAACAGCAGCATGAAAGTGTTGAGTTTCTTCCCCTTCCACCCTTGCTCATATCAGCCAGCACTCTAGAGAGGTTTCAGATGGAATGATGGTGGATGTGTTTAGCTTCTGACATGCTAGATGTAGGGATACAGGTGGGTACAGAGGGTCTGAACCTCCCTGCTCATGCTTTGTGCTTGAGTGGGAAGGCAGCCGACACTGTATGACTGGTGCTGGTGACCTGAGCATGCAGAGCTTGGCTCTGGCTGGGCCCATCGGTCTAGGTGGATGCTCTGTAGCACTTTACCCAAATCTCACCTGTGCCAGGGACTGACCTTTAGCAAAACGAGTGCCTGCCGACCAGCTGGCACCCTCACAAAGCTGCTCAAAGCACTGGCATTGTGACAACTAAAAGCGCGCCGGAAGAACACTGCATGACTTGATGCGTTGCGTAATGGGAGAAATCCCATCCAGGTGATTCCATGGCAAAAATGTCTATTTTTATGTTATGCTTTGTTAAAACCGTGATTCCTGTAGTTGTACCCTTGCCCAACATCTGGCTTCCTGGAGTTTCCCCAGGGGCAGGTGTGTGCATGGCTCGGGCTGGCCGGCCCTTAGACCCTGGTGACAAAAGCCTTTGCAGCACGAGTGATGTTGGACTGTTTGCAAACCATGTTAGTATTTTATAGTTCTTATATTTTGGGAGTTAATTACTATAAACAAAGCAGATCTTAATCTAATCGGCCCTTCCTTGTGCCACATCAATCACAGACATCAAAGTGAACATCAAAGTGAGAGGCATGAAAGGCTTTGGAAACAGCGCCAACTGATTCACCCAGGTGCATCTCTGAAAGAACTTCCTAGTCTGTGTCATTTCTGTCTGCTTCAGCCTAGGTTTTGAGGCTGCTTTCAGTTATTTCAGATCTAAGGGATGTTGTCAAGGTAAGGTAAAACAACATTACCATAAGAATGGCCAGCATGGACAAAGCAAAGGGCTATTTAAACTTTTTACCCCCCTCCCCCCCTTTTTGTGTATGTGTGTTGTGTCTGTGTCTCAGACAGTCACTAAGCCAGGAGCTTCAAAGGAAGATGTAAGCTCTGTCCGGTCTGTAGGAGATTGGCCTGGCAATGAACAGGCCCTGCTGTTAAGCCTCAGCGTTTGGCTCCTTGGGGAATTGCATCTTAGCCAGTGCACCTGCAGTTCCTTTGCTGTGATCCAGCTTCATTTGTGACTCCCTGTAGAGATTGTAGGGAACTTTGCATTGCAGTCTTTATTTTTCAAATGATATATTTCAGACTCTGAAACAAATGCCATTCTGGTCAATTATTTTTTTTTATTTTTGGGGCCAGAGAGAAGTAATTTTCTCTGCTGATCTGGCTGAGATAAATCAGGGAGGTGGGAGCTGCTCTGCACGCTCCGGTGGCATTATATGTGCATTCACGAGTGCTGTGTCCTTACAGCAAACAGGGCCAGGAAGCCCCAGGTACAGCAACATACAATGGACAAACCCCAGTTACAGGGCAGTTTGTAATGTAGGGAGGTTGTGACACATGAATGCACAAAAGGAAGTGCCAGGGAGCAGCTCATGGCTGCAGTCGTGGTGGGACATGTTGTGGCTATGAAATGGGAGCCCCCTCATCCTCCCTGGCTTGGATCTGGCAAGGGAGCGCAGCAGATCCAGCTTGTGAGATGGGATGGTTGGTGCAAAGTGTGCAAGAGCACCCAGGCAAGCAGCCAGGAGCACTTCCTCCCTAAATCTTTCCCATGGCTGAGATGAGCTCGGAGGCTCGAGAACAAGCACTGGGGGCTGCAGAATAAAGCAGCTGTTGAGAACCTTCACGCTCTTCAGCCTTTCTGGATGCAGCTGCTTTTCCATCATCTCTCTGGAAGAGGGAGAGAGGCTCCTTTTGGGCAGGCCTTGATAAGGTTACTGTAGCATTAAGATATATAAATTTCCAATTGCTTAATTTTATAAGCCCCTTGAGCTGGTGCGGGGAAGAGATCAACATCTCCTTGAGGTGCTTGCAAATGCTATTTCAGGCAATTAGGTGTGTGGCTCACTGAGGCAAGAGATGGTGTGATAGGCAGCTACCAGTGCAGGCAGGTTCCAGCAGGGCACCTGCGTTATTTCCCTGTTGCAGGGACTTGAAGCAGTTGTTTACCCGAGGCAGGAAAGCAGAGTCCCCCAGCCATGCCCTGGTCCAGTTGTGGTTGGGAACAGCTGCCAATGCTGCTTACAGGCGAGGCTGGAGCTGGTCCCGGCCCCAGAGCACATCACGAGCACTGGGATTGCTCAAGGCTTTGAAGCCGCTTCACGGGGCCTCTCGTAGTATGTGTGGGAGATGGTTCCTCAGGCAGCAGCAGGAAGAGATGGCTCAGTTAACACGCTGCGAGCATGTACTTTCCCTGGGGTTGGCCTGGAAAATACCTGCAAAAGGTAACACTGCTCCTGCCTGTCAAACCCACACCAGCTCCTGGGTTGCTGAGCTGCGGTGTGCTGTATGGCCCCACTGCCCAACATCCCTGCCCACCTGGGAAGACTCCTCAGTTCTTTCTGCTGCCAGTACCTTCCCTGCCTGTGTTGTTTCATCCCATCCATGTTTACAGTGGCAATTGCAGTCTCTTTTAAGCGCGCTTTTCCTCTACCCCCCCAAAACGGGAGCTCTTGCACCCTGCTGAGAGCACAGAAGTGTTCCTGGAATCCAAACTTGGTGTGGAAACTTGGCTGAACTTGGCTTTCCATCAGATCTACTCCCAACACAGAGCAGGGACAGATCAGCCTCTGCAGGTCTCCGACAGCACAAGGCTTTCCACCTGGCTTTATTATGGGGATGGGTGTCACTTGGAGTCTGACTTGCTGGGGCTGAAGAAATCCCAAAGGCGCTGCATGCGTGCTGCATATCATAGACGATCCAAAGCATGCATGAAAAACAAGTGGCTGAATCTGATCATGGGTTATTGCTCTCACTGGCATGCCATCAGCCATGTTTGTTTGCTCTGGGATGGCATAGGGTAGGGCTAAGAAAGCTGCAGATTGGCAAGGAGAGACTGGCTCTACTGGTGGGTTCTGGGCCTTCTCTGTCAAGAGAAACCAGTGCGTAGATGCAGAAATGCCTTGCTGCCAGCCTAGCAGGCACTAGGATAGTCAGTCGTCCTAAAGCCTCCTGATACTCTCGGTGGGATGCACCAAAAAGGCATGGTGACAGGATTGTCCACAGTAGATACTGAGCCACTGAGTGGCTCACTGAGAGCAAAGCCGCTCACTGAGCAAAGCCGCTGAGGCTTTGCTACCAAAGCCTTCATTTCTGGTGGCTATTTGGTGTATTCACACAGGTGGGCAACTGTATATCCCTCAAATCTGGCCCAACATTCCTCACTCAAATCTAAACTCATTTGTTAATAGTATTGGGGTGCAAGAGGGCCTAGTGCAGCACTTCTTGCAAGTGAATGAGGTGACAAATGCCCCCCTGTATGTTGGTGACGGAGACGTAGGTGAGCTGGAACTAGACTGTAGTTTGAGTTTGAGATCTAGGGACTTACGAGCTCTTATCCAACAATGACTACCAGTCTGGGCTGGGAGGTGCATTTCTGTGCAAAGGGGATGAAACAACTAAAGAAGCCAGGGCAGTCAGAGAGAGGGGGATGATAGTATTATTTCTCATAGGTGTTTGCTGCTGTTCTTCATTTCTTCTGACTTTGATTTAATTTGAAAGCAAAACCTGGTGAGGGTTCCTGGTGAGGGTTCCTAGAACTGGGCTGCGGGCTGGGGAAAAGAGTGTGCTTTGGACTGGACTTTTTGGCTTGAAAAAGAAAAGACAAATGCTTGGGGACAGGCACCCTTCCTGCAGGATGATGACTAGCAGGCAGTACCGCTTAGCTCCACCTTTTTCCCCTGTGGGTTACCGGCACCGAACTCCCCTGGGGCAGTTTCCCTTGTAGGCATCTCACTTGCCGAAGGTAAATTTGGGAAGAAATCCCCCAGCCTGCCCCTTCTTTGTGTCCTCAGCTGGAAGCTGCTGCTGTGCTCCCCAACAGTGGCTCTTCCGGAGCTCCCCTGAGGATTGAGAACAGCAATGCCCTGGCAGTGCAGGGAGGGCTCGGCTCCTGCAGGCACCTTCTAGCTCCACAGCCAAATACGACTTTTCAAGGACCACGCGTGGCACGGCCAGGCTGTGCCCTGCTCCCCCCACCACTTCCCAGATAATTAAATGCTCCATCTCCCCTGCGGTAGATGTTTCCAGCTAGTGTCAGCCTGGAGCAGTTGCATGTTAATTTTTTTACTGGAGAACAAGCTCTTGGAGCGCTTCCCTCCCCTGCGTCCCTGTGGGGAAGGAAACGGCGAGGCTGGCTAATTGATTACTGTTTTGCCAGCAGTGCAGGGCACTCTCCTCTAATGCAGACCAGAGCCGGAGGAAGTGGGCTGCCAAGTGCACACGTTGGAGCCGTCACCAAACCCACCGCTGCACCCCTTCTTGCTAATTTGTCACTACTACTGCACGTGGTTGCAGGCAACACCACGGCTTGGTGAAAGCGTGCCTTTGCTCTTATTAGCGCCTGCCAGGCCGTTATTCTCTCCGATGGGGAAGTTTTCATTTCAGAGACCTGTTAGGAGCTGGCATGAGGTCTGGAAGTGGTTTTGCAGCCTGCCCTCTTAGCAGCTTGCTAGCCGCTGCTAGTTCGGTGGGGTTTTCGGTAAGCCGGAGAGGCTGGATGTCGGCACGTTGCTTCAGTGCTGCTTACTGCTCCTCTCCGCCATTTGCCTCTTCAGCCCCGTTGGAGAGGGCCGTGGATTAACGCCGGGAAGCATTTGGGAGCGGGCCTAGGCCAAGGCGCAGGGTTGGCAGCCAAGCGTGCCAGGCCCGGAAGGCGATGCCGGCAGAGGCAGGCCAGCACTCGTGGTGCGAGTTGGCGTTTTGTGAAATCAGAGCTGTTTGTTGTTCCGTGCCTGGAAACGCGCTGCGCGGCAGTTGCTTTCGCAAAGGCTGCTTGAAGGGAGCCCGTTTCGAACCTCACGCAGAAGAGGCGATCTAAAAATATGACCTTGTTTTTCTCCAGCTGGAGTTGATTTAGCATCCCTGCTTTTCACTGAAGTGCACTGCAGGACAACTGAGAGATGAAAGTTTGCAGGCTGTAATTTTGCTCTCCTTCCTTCCCCACACCGCTCCTAAACGAAGGCGGCTGACAGAAACTCAGAAAAGTTGGCAGAAGGATGGTGCGTTAGAGCTCCTGACCCACTTTGCTTGCTCCAGGTTTCCAAGATCCCATTCACCTTTTCCTTTTCACCAAAAAGCAAAGGGACTTTAATCTAGCCAACAGAGAGAATATTTAGAGGTTTATCTTTACTGTGCAGCAGAGTCCTTATGCATGTGCAATCAGCACAACCCCCAGTTTGTGTCTTTGGCAGTGCTCGCTAAAAGAAGGATGAAATCATGTGGTTTCTCCTGTTTTTGTTTTCAGCGCTGCTAGCCCAGTCTTCTTCCCTGACTGAGAGGGGAGGTGACAGAGAGGAGCTAGCTGCTGCTTCTTCCCTCCCTTCCCCTCCGAATGTGTATCTCCTGCCTAGCAATATTCCTGCGCACCATACGAGTCAATGGCTCAGCTCACGTGAATGTGGTCTTGACAACATAGTGAGAAGTTTTAACCACCCTGATATGTTTATGCAAGTCTGGCTTTGCTGTAGTAGCTGCATCAGGGTGCAAAGAGCAAAAGAGTGCTGCAGAACTGGCTATCTCCAAATCCCTCCCTCCCCAGCTGCCTGTTCCTGGTAGAAAGGAGTCACCTGTGTTTGCTTTCACTGACCAGGACAGCCTGCTTTCTCATGTTGCTCCTTTCTGCTCTCTTCCCTCCCAGGTAACTGGCCAGCTTTCCTGGTTTTTGATGCTGAATCAGGATTGTTTTAACTAAAGATGGAAACACTGGAGTCAGAATTGACCTGCCCAATCTGCCTGGAGTTATTTGAAGACCCTCTACTGCTACCGTGCGCTCACAGCCTCTGCTTCAGCTGTGCCCATCGCATCCTGGTGTCCAGCTGCTCCTCCAGCGAATCCATCGAGCCCATCACCGCGTTCCAGTGCCCTACGTGCCGGTATGTCATCTCCCTCAACCACCGGGGCCTAGAGGGCCTCAAGCGAAATGTGACCCTGCAAAACATCATCGACCGCTTCCAGAAGGCGTCTCTGAGTGGCCCCAACTCCCCCAACGAGAGCCGCCGAGAGCGCACTTACCGCAACAGCCCTACCATGTCCGGCGAAAGGATAGCCTGCCAGTTCTGCGAACAGGATCCACCGCGGGACGCAGTGAAGACGTGCATCACCTGTGAGGTGTCCTACTGTGACCGCTGCCTCCGGGCCACGCACCCCAATAAGAAACCTTTCACCAGCCACCGTCTGGTGGAACCTGTGCCCGACACGCACTTCCGAGGACTCACTTGCTTGGAGCATGAGAACGAGAAAGTAAACATGTACTGTGTTGCTGACGACCAACTCATTTGTGCCTTATGTAAACTGGTGGGCCGCCACCGGGACCACCAAGTGGCGTCCCTCAGTGATCGCTTTGAAAAGCTCAAGGTAAGCGCTGAGGGCTTTCGGCTTGTTGGGAGCTGCAGCATCTGCTGCAGAGTCTCTGCTGCTCCTTGGCTTTGTCAAACCGTGAGGCTCAAAACGCAAGGGCTGCAACCCGTTGGTAGGACGTGGAGCTGGCCTGGCCTCTGACGTGGGGGTGGGAGCAACACGTAGTTTTGTATCCTGGCCCTTTTTCTGTGGGTCCCAGCCCTACCTATGGCAAGGTGGAGTGTAAAGGGTCAGGCGGGAATTCTACAGAAAGCCCTTGGGCTGCTAGCAAGGGCAAAATGCCCGGGAGCTGGAGAGCTTTCATTTGTAAGAACTGATGTTTGCTGATGGAGTGTTTTCAGAGCAGAAATGGGTTCCAGATGTCCTAAGCAGCATCTCTCATTTAAGTCAAGCAAACCCTCCAAATTCCTGAAAGATGTGGGCTGTGGGACAGTTTGTTGGGTCATCCAGGACTCTGGTACCAGGATGGTGAGCTGGATCTCAGTTGTGCAGTTACAGCAAATCATTTTGTTTCATTTTGTTTTATTTTTTCTGCTGCTCTGCATGTGCTGAGCCCCAGCATCGCATGCTCTCCCCAGTCAAATGGACTGTAAAGTATGGAGCAGGGCTCCTTGGGCCCTGTAGCTGGAGAGGCAGTGTATGACATGGCCCTGGGCAGCAGCAGCAGGGCCCTCAGCGTAAAAGAGTGTATAAGGCTCGTTCTGAGACAACGGCAGAGTGCACGCTTGGCAGTGATGCTGTCTTGGTACCTCGTGTTGGCAAAGGCTGGAGCGTTGCATGGAGGATGTTGCTGGGGTGCTGCCCTGTGCATGTGCTGGGGGTGTCTCCTCTGTGCCCAGACCCTGCTGAGTCCTGCTGTAGGGCTGCCAGCTTCAGGGAAGGGAGTACATCCCATTTCTGTTTTTTTCCCCTTTCCTCTGCCAGCTGAACAGGCTGTGCAGTGCAGCTGTTTGTGCCCAGCAGTGCTGCTGTAACTTGGTGTGGCATGTGAGTGGACATCATACTGTCACCTCTGTGCTCTCGTGTGCTCCATGCATCTCTCCAGGGCTGGGCAATCTCAACAGGCTGCATGCCGGCCTCGCTAGCTGGCTGCCCTTGGAGTGGCGGGTTGGATTACTTGAGAACTTGTGGAGGTGTGTGGTGCATGAAGTTTCAGGGACCCCTAGCTTAGTATTCACTGCACAACTTCCAAAAAGTTGCTGACTATCAGTGAAAAACATCCGAACGGATTCCTGGGGTTGGAGAGCTGCTGCCCTCCTGCTCATCATGCTGTTTTGCTGCGCAGAGCACACGTTCCTGTGCTGTGCTTGTTTGCAGGGTATTGCACTTGCAGCAAAGGGTGCGAGTTCCTCGCCTGATAAAATATTGACTGGTATCAAAGTGTCTCTGGTTGTTGTCCTGGGAGCACGTGCCATTAGTCCTGCTGTCAAGATGATGGGGAGTGGGTGCCTCCTTTCACTTCTTCACTGTAGGCAGGCACTGTCCTCCCTCTTTGTGGTTTAAATCTTTCTCATTCTAACATATGCAGGTCTCCTGTCCTGCAAGAGAGTTGGAGTGATAAAGTGTGACCCAGGGGATCTTTGAGTGTGGTCCCCTGAGGCTCATGTGTTTTGCCAGGGCAGTCTTCTGTACGCTCTGCCTGTTCAGCCCTCTTGGAGGACTGGAGCAGGACAGGTCTATAGCCATGGACATTTCTTTTGGGAAAGCTGCCATGAGAGTTAGGCTTGGTCTTGGGGTTCCTGGCACGTTGCCTCTGGGATGCTCTAACACGTTCGAAGCCTGTGGGTTGCAGTGTGCGAGAACCCTGTTGCTGCTAATAAAACCTCACCTGCAGATTTTCCTGATGCCTGAGGACCTCTCTGTCCTGATAAGTGCCCCAGGGGAGTGCTTTCAAGATCTCCTCAGGTCAGCTTGCCCAAAGCTTCTGCACCATGCCACTGCAGCTGACCCTGGCCCGCAGAGGTGACTTGCTGGTGATGCTCTTGAATCAGCTGTGCTGCAGAGCCCCTGCGGTGAGCTGTCTGCTTGGGGCAGATGCTGCTGTCACGGTGCATCTGCACCTCCTTGCTTGCAAAGCTGCCCTGCCCTCTCCAGTAAGCTGCTGCTGCCTCCTACTTGTTTGAAGGCAAAAAATGAGAGAGGAGAAGGACAGATTTCATTAAGCAGAGCTAGAGCTTATGCCATAGTGTCTCAGCACAAATGGTTGTCTGGGGAGTGTGGCTGGCCCTGCTTGTGAGAAGGCAAGTGGCACTGGAGCTGAGCCCTGACACCCTCTGGGGTGCTTGTGCCCTGGGGACAGGGTGCATGAAGGAGGCAGGAGCATGCTGCTGGGGTCAGAGTCCTCTCTGTCCCAGAGCCTGCCAGTTTTCCGTCAGAACGGCCCTGACCGCTTGTGTCCAGGGGCTCCGCTGGCTCATTCTGGGTTCATGTCCCTGCAGTGTCTGGAGAGATGAGGAAGCTTTCTCAGCACTGCTGCTCCTCTGAGAAAGAGCTTACCAGCTCTGTGCAATTGCAGAGGGCATGTGGTACCAAAGAGTTTTCCCTCTCCTACCCCAGAGCCCAAAACCCTTCCTGTATCCTTTGTCCTCCTGAGGGGATCTTAGCACATTGGCTCTTCGCAGATTTCACCCAGAGAGATCACAGAATCACAGAATCGTTTAGGTTGGATGGGACCTCTGGAGATCATCTAGTCCAACCTCCCTGTTCAAGCAGGGTCACCTAGAGCATATTGCCCAGGATCACATCCAGACGGGTTTTGAATATCTTCAGGGAAGGAGACTCCACTACCTCTCTGGGCAACCTGTTCCAGGGCTCTGTCACCCTCACAGTCAAGAAGTTCTTCCTCAGGTTCAGATGGAACTTCCTGTGGTTCAGTTTGTGCCCGTTGCCTCTTGTCCTGTTGCTGGGCACCAGTGAGAAGAGACTGGCCTCGTCCTCTCGACACCCCCCCTTCGGATACTTGTACGTATTGAGGAGATCGCCTCTGAGTCTTCTCTTCTCCGGGCTGAACAGGCCCAGCTCTTGCAGTCTTTCTTCCTAGGAGAGGTGCTCCAGCCCTCTAATCATCTTGGTAGCCCTGATGCCCAGAGAGATGGGTCTGTGCAGTTCTCTCCATCTCCCCAGAGGGACCATATCAAGGGAGGGTAAGGTCTTGCACAGGAGGTGGCTGGAGAGGGACCAGGACTGGGAGGCAGGCTTCTGAAACGTCCCTGTGGTCATGTCCTCCGAGATCTCCCTTTTGCTTCTCTCATCCCTAGACTCATTGCTTAGTGTTTCCACCAGCCCATCCTGCCCCAGTCCTGCCAAGGCGAGCTTTGAATCGCTGTCCTTGGCTGCCACAACAATGTTCTCCGTGGATGGAGAACCTCTTCTACCAGAGCCAGTGCTTGCAGTCTTAATGTCATGTCGGAGCAGCAGAAACGGGCAATCATTTTCCAGCCCCTTAAGCTTGATTACATACCACATATTGATCTGAACTGAATTACTGTTCTGCTGCTCTTCAGAGATCGCTCTGGAGTGTTTCGAAGCTTAATTTTAAGCAGCGCTTGTGGTTGTACTGAATGTTATGTGAACCTGTATGGATGATATTTGACCTATATAAAGAATATAAAGTTAGAAATCCCTCTCCATCCCCCATGCATTCCACATGAATCTGCAAAACAGTTTTAATTTTTTTTTTAATATTGAAAAAATATAGCTGATCCCATTAGAGGTCATGCTGGTAAGACTGTAACTGTGGCTGCACATTATAACCCTTATCATATGTTTCCAACTTTCTTCATTGGCTTTCTCTCCCTTAATCTTCTGGGCTTGTTCTGACCCAAAAGTGCTTTTCTTGGCTCTTTGTCTTGTTAATGTATTTGACAAAATCGATTTGTCTGCTCTTGTGCTTTTTTGAGGGCAAAGGAAATACTTCTATCACTCTAACAAAAATACCAAGTTGTTTTTTTTTTAATGTGCAGACTAGATTGTTTAAAAAAGAAGAGAAGACTGATGTCTGGAAAGAAATCATTCTAGATGTCCTGCTCTATTTTGGAGCTGTTCTTTGGACTGATTTCCCAGCTACCCTCCTGCAAAAGCCCAACCCCAGTATACCACTCTGACAGTGCTGTGACTTAAACATGGGCAGACGCAGGAAGACCTTGCTTTAGGAAGGACTGTGGAATGATAAAATACAGTGATGCAAGCAAATAGCCTGCATTTCAGTATCACAAAATGATATCTGTGCCACTGTGTTAGCTTCACAACAAAATCCCAGCCACATTTTATTTCACTGCTGTGAACTGAAGTCTTGAAATGCCACTGTAGAAGTCTTCATGGTGGTGGAAACTGTGTGCACAGAAAGGCTTGCATGAAAAGTATGGGATGTTTGGTCACTAATATTTGACTGCTTTGTCTTGAAACCTTGATGTGACTGTTTCGTCTTTAAATTTTGCCTCACCTAAGCTTTCTCAATTTTTTTTATTAAGCTGTAGCCAGTAGACCGTTTTTTAGTTCAGAACATTCTTTTTCAATGAGGAAATGTCTCAATTAGCAAATTGGAAAGCTTAGAAAAGAAATGACCATGTATGTTTGCATGTAATAAAACCAGAAGACAGATATTAAAACCCTTTAATATTTCCCCCTCTAATCTGGAATGTGTCAACTAGCCAGGCAAATCGATCTGAAGACAAAAAGCCTTGACATCCTAAATTGCTTCCTCAACCGGCCCAAATTTTGCAGGTTGCCAAAACACCATTTTTTAAAAGCAAGTCTTAGGCAATTTTGGACAAAAAGGGAAACTCTCTTTAACTATAAACATTCTTTCTGCGGTATTCATCCTGCCCAGCTCACCTTTAAACTTTGGGAGCTGTGGTTGAATCAGTGAGTTAAAGAGAAAGGAAGCTGCGATGCCTCTGCCCATGTCTTCCCACCTGCTGGTTTTCCAGTGGGAAATGCTGTTTTCCTCATTCCCTCACGTGGAATAAGTGAAGGAGCTACTCTTCTGGGAAGACGTT